AACAGTTCTGTTACTCCCAAAGCAGTTACCTGTGTCCATCTCTCCCTTTCTGGCTAGTCTCCCTCCAGCCTTCTTCCCTCTCCAAGTCTTATATATAACTAAGACAGGTCTCCAATTTTATATATTGTTGCTTTTGTTTAGTGCTGTCAAGTCAGTTCTGACCCACAATGACTCTCTGTAAGGTTTCCGAGGAGCATCTGGTGACTTTGAACTGCTGACCGTGCGGTCCAAACTGAGCTTGCAGTCTAGTGCATTATCCTGCAGTGCCACACCAGGACTCTGTAGTTTGTTGTTGTTGTTGGGTGCCATCGAGTCAATACTGACTCATAGCGACCTTATGCACAGCAGAATGAAACACGGCTGAGGCTAGAAATCCAAATCCAGAGTGCTGGCTGTAGGGAATGACTTTCTCTCTTTATTGGCTCTGGGGAAAGGTCCTTGTATCCTTTTAGCACTTGTAGGTCCAGCATTCCTTAGAGATCTCCGTGTGTCTTGGCATCAATCATCCCCTGGATCTAGGAGTTTCATGGTTTAGGGATCCCAAGTCCAAAGAACACACTCCATGTCTGGCTCTTCTTTGTTGGTGGTAGGTCACGCTTTCTCTATTCATGTCTCTCTTCGCTTACCTATGTAAGATGAAAGATGTTACAGACCACACCCCTGAGGACACCTCCCTTCAATTGATTGACTGCTTAAAGTAGATCCCATCATAGAAGGGATTCCATTATATTAGATCTCATCATGGGGGACTGGTGCCTCTCAACTGCCAAACCACTGAGAATCCAGGCCCAGTCAAGTTGACATAAAATTAACCATCACTGGGCCCCAGGATGATGACCAACACACATTTACGTAAATAAATATGCTTTTGTTGTTGAGTACCATCCAGTTGATTGGGAGGTGAGTTTAAACTGCTGACCTGGAGATTGAAACAGATCTGCAGTTCAGAGCATTATCCTGCAGCATCACACTGCAGCGCCATACCAGGACTCAGACACATGAAATACCCAATAAATGGACATCCCTCTGGGGCCCCAATGAATCCATCCATTCCCTGAACAACTATTCAAATGCCCCCCCATACATCTGTTAGTTGGTCATACTATGATGGCTTGTATGTTTCTGTGATCCTGGAAACTATGCCACTGTTGTTTCAAACACCAGGAGGGTCACCCATGGTAGACAGGTTTCAGCAGAGTTTCCAGACTAAGAACAGACTGTTGTTGTTAAGTACCATCAAGTCGGTTCCGACCCATAGAGACCCTGTATAGGGTTTCCAAGGAGCAACTGATGAGCTTGAACCACTGACCTTGTGGTTCAAATTGACTTTACAGTCTGGTGGGTTAACCCACAGTGCCACACCAGGACTTCAAGAACAGCCTAGGAAGAAAGAATAGGCAGTTTTGAGGGATTAGCCACTGAACACAATTTGAATAAAAATGAAACATTGATATAGTGCTGGATGAGCCCCTCAGGTTAGAAGGCACATAGAATAAGAATGGGAAAGAGCTGTCTTCTAAAAGTAGAGTTGATCTGAATGGCATGGAAGGAACAAAGTTTTCTAGACCTTTGTTTGCTGATGGGGCATGCCTCAAAAGGAGCAGAAACAGCTGCAAACATTCATTAATAATTGGAATGTGGAATGTATGAAGTATGAATCTAGGAAAAGTAGAAGCCATCAAAAATGAAATGGAATGCATGAAAATTCATATCCTAGGCATTAGTGAACTGAAATGGACAGGCACTGGCCATTTTGAATCAAACAATCATATGACTTACTATGCTAGGAATGACAAGTTCAAGATGAATGGTGTTGAATTAAATGTTGACAAGAACATTTTAAGATCTGTCTTAAAGTACAATGCTATCTGTGATAGAATAATATCTATAAGCCTACAAGGAAGAGCTGTTAATATGACTATCATTCAAACTGATGCACTAAACACCATAGCCAGTGATGAAGAAGTTGAAGAATTCTATTGTATTTATAATTATTGGTGATTGGACTGTGAAAGTTGGATACAAAGAGGAGGGATCAGTAGTTAGAAAATATTGTTGTGGTGATAGAAATGATGCTGGAGATCTCAAGATAGAATATGGCAAGACCAGTGATTTAGTTATGCAAATGCTTTTTTTTAAACAACATAAATGGTGATCATATATGTGGACCTCACCAGATGGAATAACAGGAGTCAAATTGACTACATCTGTGGGAAGAGACAATGGAGAAGATCAATATCATCAGCAAAGGACTGAGTGTGGAACAGATCATTAATTGTTCATATGTAAGTTCAGGTTGAAGTTGAAGAAAATTAAAACAAGTCCATGGGAGCCAAAATATGACCTTGAGTATATCTCCCTTGAACTTAGAGTCCATCTCAAGAAAGATTTGACACATTGAGTACCAGTGGAGCTGTGGGATAACATAAAGAACATCATAAATGAAGAAAGCAAAAGGTCATTAAAAAGAAAGAAAAGAATGAAAAGACAAAAATGGATGTCAGAAGAGACTCTGAAGCTTGCTCTGTGAACATTGAGTAGCTAGAGCAAATGGAAGAAATCATGAAGCAAAAGAGCTGAACAGAAAATTTCAGAGGACAGCTTGAGAAGACAAAGTATTATAATGAAATGTGCCAAGACCGGAAGTTAGAAAACCAAAAGGTTTTCTCAAGCTGAAAAACCTGAAGAAAAAATTCAGGCCTTGAGTTCCATATTGAAGGATTCCATGGAGTCCTGTTGTGCCACTGTAGGATAAACATTGGACTGTTAACCACGAGGTCGGCAGTTCAAACCCACCAGTTGCTCCTCTGAAATCCTGTACAGGGTCGCTATGAGTCAGAACCGACTTGATGGCACTTAACAACAACAACAACAACATGAGCAAAATATTGAACGATGCAGGAAACATCAAAAGAAGATGGAAGAAATATATAGAGTCACTGTACCAAAAAGAATTGGTGACGTTCAACCATTCAAGAACCACAGGAAGAAGTCCAGCTGCACTGAGGGCATTGGTGGAAAAACAAGGCTCTGGAATTGATGGAATACTAAGTGAACTGTTTCAACAAACTGATGCACCACTGAAAGCACTTAATAGTTTATGCCAAGAAATTTGGAAAACAGGTAACTGGCCAACTGACTGGAAGAGATTCACATTTGTGCCCATCCAAAAATGACCCAATAAAATGTGGAAATCATTGAACAGTATCACTGATGTCACATGCAAGTATAATTTTGATGAAGATCATTTAAACATGGTTGCAGCAGTAAATTGACAGGGAGCTGCCAGAAATTCAAGCCATATTCAGAGGAGAATGTGGAACTAGAGATAATCATTGCTGACATGAGATGAATCTTGGCTGTAACCAAAGAATACCAGAAAGATGTTTGTGTTTTATTGACTATACAATTGCATTTGACTGTATAGATCATAACAAACTATGGATAACATTGTGAAAAATGGGAATTCCAGAACACTTAATTGTACTCATACAGAACCTGTGCATAGATCAGTTGCTAGAACAGTAACTACTACTACATGGTTTAAAATCAGGAAAGGTATGCATCAAAGTTGTATCTTTTTAACCACACTTAATCTGCATGCTGAGCAAATAATCTAAGAAGTTGAACTTTATGAAGAAGAATATGATTGGAGTAGGAATTCTAAGAATCTGTGATATGCAGATGATACAAATTTGCTTGCAAAAAGTGTAAAGGGCTTGAAGCACTTGCTGATGAAAACAAAGAAAACTCAATGCAAAGAAAACAAAATTCTTCACAACCAGACCAATCAACATCACAATAAAGGAAGAAAAGGTTGGCATTGACAAGGATTTCATTTGCTTGTAGTAATGCCCATGGAAGCAGCATTTAAGAAATCAAAGGACATATTGCATTGGTCAAATTTGCTGTAAATGATCTCTTTAAAGTGTTAAAATGTATAGATGGCATTTTGAGAACTAAGGTGCGCCTAGCCTAAGCCACATTGTTGTTGTTGTGAAGTGCAATTGCCTCATATGCATATAAAAATTGAACATTGAATAAGGAAGACCATAGAAGAATCAATGTATTTGAGTTATGATGTTGATGAAGAATATTAAAAGTACCAGAAGACCAAATGAATCCATTTTGTTAGAATTATAGCCAGACTGTCCTTTAGAAGTGAGGATGGGAGGACTTGTCTTGTGTATTTTGAATATGTTATAAGAGACCAGTCCCTAGAATAGGACATCATGCTAGACAAAGTGAAAAAGAGGAAGATCCCCTAAGAGATGGATTGGCACTGACTGCAACAATGGGTTTAAACATAACAAATGTGAGGAGGTATAGGACCAGGAAGCGTGTCGTTCTGTTGTACACAGAGGTGCTGTTAGTGGAACTGACTCATTGGTAACTAACAACTCTGTGCCCGGGCCCAAGCTATCTGTTGGGATTAACAAAGCATAAGAGGTTTCAGTTTTCATGAAACTTAAATTGTATTTATGGAAAACGAAAACAAACGTAAACTTTAGCTATTGAAAAGTGCTGTAAAAACAATAGGACTTTGTGAGAAAGAGTGAAAAGGAACAGACTAGTTCAGATATTCTACTGAGTGGTCAAGGTGAAATATGAGTGGCGATTTATTTTATAAACGGGAACAATGAAACATGGGCACTTGGAAGATTTTGGTGGCAGAAAATAAGGAGGCTGAGGAGGTCCATACCACTTCTCAACTTGTCAGCCCCGCAGGCGTCTTAAGCGGTACCTATAAGACCATACCCCGGTATTTTTGTGGGGTCAGTGGCGCTTGCGCAAAATGATGCCGCCAGCTTGACGTCATCGCGTCAGGCTCCGACCTGCCCCCGCCTGTGACGCCCTCCCTGCCACAGCCCTGCCCCGTACGCCCGCGCGCTCGCGCGCATGCTCCGAACCCCGCCTCCGTGCGTCACAGAATGGCATCAGACAGCCTGGCTGCCCCTGACGTGTCGGGGAGGAGCCGGGCTCGGAGGTACGCGGAGTGGAGTCAGGGCTGCGGAGGGGAGCAAAGCTGAGCGGCTGGGCGGGCCTGGCCAGGCCAGCAGAGCGGACACGTCGGCGGAGCTGCGGCGAACATGCGCTTTTGACACATTGGAGGTGAGCCTGCTGTACGGGGGGCGCTCCCGAGGGGGTTGGGCTAGGCCGGCGGCCCCGCGGCCTGTCCCTAGGGAGCCTGACGGATCCGGGGGCCGTGTCTGAGGGGCTCCGCTGGGCCGCCTGTGTCCTGTTCTGGGGCGTCCAGTCCAGGGACAACTGTTCCAACCGCCCTAACTGCCCCCTCCCCACCCGGCCCGAGGTGTGGCCCAGCAGGGAAGCGTGGAGGGAGCGCGCCCGAAGGCCTCTGGAGGGTGGGAAGGATGGAGGCCGGTGCGCACCGTGGGCTGGGCGCTGGTGGAGTGGCCCGGTGGTGGCGGCGGCGCGCCCTGCCCGCCTCCTTCGCCCTCCCCAGGCGCCGCCAGCTGGAAGGGTGGGCTGGAGCGGGGTTGGAGTTCAGGAAAGTGTCACCAAACGGGTCCGGTGGCTTGTGCTTGCCTCTGTTTTGCTTGCAAACGACGAGATGAGCCTTTTGTAAGTTTTTGCTAAGGAAATGCGCCTTCTTGCACTGCGGATTATCATTACAGTGCGTTTCTATAGCGCCGGTACGTATTCAGAACACTTTGCTTACCTCTGGAACCTCGTCCTCACTCTGTGGTTGTGGCTGGGTCTCCTAGCGGCCTTGGACGCCACCGGGGAAACCGAGTCTGGGGTGGGAGGTGTGAAGTGTACCCCGTACTTGCTGTCTTCCAACTGCTAAGTGGCTTTGCCTGGCTCAGAATTTAGGCCTGGAATTGGGGTTTCTTTGGGTGGGATTTTTATACTCTTCTCAGGTAGGAACAAGGCAGTCTATTTGATTTGCCAGAGATATAGCAGAACCTAGTAGATGTTTTATTTACATGTTTTTGAACAGACTCACCTAGGATAAGAACCACGGCTAATTTATGAGAACAATCCTACTCGGAAAGCTTGTTCCCAGGTTTGTGGTTATTTTGCCTGACCGATTGTTAGCAGCGTTACTAAATATGCAGTTGTTGTTGTTGTTATGTGCCGTGCAGTCGGTTCCGACTCATAGTGACCCTGTACAGTGTTTCCGAGGCTCTAAATCTTTACGGGAGCAGAAAGCCTCATCTTTCTCCCGTGGAACAGCTGGTAGTTTCGAACTGCTGACTTTGCAGTTTGCAGCCCGATTCGTAACCACTACGCTAACATTGCTAAATCATGAATTGTGTTAGTTGGTCATAGATTGAAGACAAGTATAGGAAAACTGAGTTACTAATGATATATATATATATTATTTAGTTCGAGAGCATTTTTTAGGGGGGAGGGGAAAGCCCCTGTTATTTGCCCTGGTCCAGACAGAAGCAGCTAAATCTTCTGAAGCTGTAGTTTTGTTTCGACTATTCAAAGTAGAGAAATCGAAGTTGGATAGAGAGTAAGTAGAAACCTCAGTAAAAACTTAGGTCTTGCCTTGAGGACATCGTCAAAACTTACTTTTATTCTCAGCTTAAGCCATGCTTACTGAAGTTTAAAATTCTAATACAAGTTTCTGAGAACTTGATAAGGTAGAACAAGAAATTCAATAGGAGCAAAAGAAAGCCTATATTTTTGATCAATTATGAAAAAGTTAAGAATCCTGAAAATTCTGTAAAAGTTAAAAATTATGTAAAGTAGAATTTTGGCAAAAAGGCATGTGGTAGCTAGAATGAATTCCAAAAAACTCTTCCAACCTTGTTGTTACGTGCTGCCAAGCCAGTTCCTACTCATTGCAACCTTGTATAGGGTTTCCAAGGAGCAGCTGAGGAGTTTGAACCACCAACCTTGTGATTTGAACCACTAACCCTGTGGTTTGAACTGGCGTTGTAGTCCATTACTTATCCTATGGTGCTACACCAGGACTCCTTCAACCTCAAAAGTCCATCCTGTATCTAGTAACAAGATAAAATATCTTATAGATTTTCTTATCAGAATTTACAAATAGCATTTTGGATAGGCTGTTTTATCTCAAAATCATATACAGTATGATAATGCTTGATGTAAAAATTGTCATATTTTTGAGACTAACACATCCATATGACACGTATTAAAGAAAGACTGGTTGGGGTACATAATTATCTACCTTCATTTTTGTTTCAGAAGATTGTAGATGCACCAGGAAGGCATTTAGACATTTTAAAATTATTTTTTTTAGTAGTGTATTTTTCTTAATATTGGCTAACTTTCTATAGCTGTAATATCTCCTGTTACATAGTATCAGATAGCACTGTGAACACCTCCTCTCACTGTAACTTGAAGCATTGCTGAACAAAAAGCCCTTGAAAAGTTCTTTTGAATATTTATAGGGTAACAAATTTTTGCCATTTGTAAAGAATCTAAGTTTCAGAAAGGGTAAGTCTGATAAATAAAATTAGATAAAACTTGATGAGACCAATTAGAAAACAATAAAAATGAGGTGTATCCATAAAGTAAGAACTTGCTTAGTTCTTAATCTGGCTCTTAAAGACTATCCCAAAAGAAAAGTTTAAAAATGTCAGTAATGGTGGTATCATTGGCATATGCACATAGCTTTTTGAAGTGACAAATTTTAAGGAATCACTTGTATATCACAAATTTTGATGCACATTTACTGTGGTCATATTTCAAAGATCCACTTCTGAGCTACCATTTTTATAATTTAATGAACATTTATGCAGCATTTACCGTGTGCCAGGCCTCATTCTAAGTACTTTACAAATATTAACTCCATAACAACCCCATTTTAATTTTTATCCCCACTTTACAGGTGAGGAAATGAGGACACATGGTCGTTGGATAACTTACTTGTTCAAGGTCACTCAGTTAATGAATAGAGGAGTAGGAATATTAAAATAGACAGTTTGCCTCCACTGCTTAGACACTTACCCGTTATGCTCTACTGCTCCTTGCTTGTTTTCTGGTGAAATGCTTTTTAATTAATTTGTACAGAGTCTCGTAAGTTAGACTTTGATGGCAATGGATTTTGTTTTTTCTGCAAAAGAAACTTATTTTAGCAAAAAGTTTCTGGTACAAGTTATAATAGTGTTTGAAGGGCCAATAAGCAAGTTGTAAAAGTAGTGTTTTTTTTTTTTTAATGTCATTAACATTGAATTCACAAGAAAATACTGAATTCAGCAAGAAAGTAATGTGTGCAAAATTAAAAACATATTGAAGTAACTTTCTAGTATTTGACACTGAATTAAGTAGCTGGACAAGGAAGGTACAAGAGAGAAAACAACTTAAGAAGCTTTAAACCAAAGACTGTTTGAAACCTTAGTCACCAAAAGACCCAATAAAAGTTGTTGATTCTATTAAGACTATGGGCATATTCAAGAACGAATAAACAGTGAAGAGTGGATACTTTACATTCTTTACTGAAAGGTGTAAAAAGTGAGGTTCCTCAGGGATCATTACTCAGCAAAGTTCTCTTCAAAATAATAACTGCCTCTCAGACTGCATACGAAGTAAACAGAGAAACCCTAACCCCATTGCCAGTGAGTTGTTTTGGACTTATAGTGACCCCATAGGACAGAATAGGACTGCCCCAGAGTTTGTAATCTGTATGGAAGCAGACTGCCACACCTTTCTCCCATAGAGTGACTGGTGGATTCTAACTACCAGCCTTTCTGTTTGCACTTGAACACTTAACCTCTGCACTACCTGGGCCCCTTCTGATCTGAATGTTGTTGTTGTTGTTAAGTGCCGTCGAGTCGGTTCCGACCCATAGTGATTCTGTACAGGGTTTCGGAGGCTGTAAATCTCTACGGGAGCAGAAAGCCTTATCTTTCTCCCGTGGGACAGCCGGTAGTTTCTAACTGCAGTTCGCAGCCTGATTCGTAACCACTACGCTACCAGAGCTCCTTTCTGAATAAGTGGGTCAAAAACAACAGAACCATGCAGAACAGTTCCAAAGTGCATGTGAATAATAACATTTATAGACACATATAATCCTAGCGTCCTGGTGTGGTGCTGTAGGCTAAGTACTGGACTCCTAACCAGTTCAAACCCACCAGCCTCTCCTTGGAAACCTTTACAGTGTGTTGCTGTGAGTCAGAACTGACTCAGTGGCACTTAGCTACAACAACAATGTATTTGTAGAAGGATTACTGGTTGGTTCCATATTCAAATACAACCAAGAAAAAAGAAAGGCATCTAAAGTCGTTATTAATGTACATAAGTGCAGTGATTCATGGACCACACAATCAGCACTATCATCAAATGCTGCACAATCTCAGAAAGAGTACTAAACACTTCAAAGAAAAATTGATCCTCAGCACATTGCTGTTGAGTTGCTTCTGACCCTAGCAACCCCATGTGTTAAGAGTAGAACCTCTCTTGGTTTTCTTGGCTATAATCTTTAAGGAAGATCGCCACGCCTTTCTTGTACTGGGTGTGGGTGTCTTCGAACCACCAATTTCTAGTGTGGAGCTGTGGGGTAATGCAGACTGCAAAGCCTTTTGAACTGCAAGGTCGGTGGTTCAAGCTCACCACCTGCTCCTTGGAAACCCTATATAGGGTCGCTATGGCTTGGAACCAACTCGACAGTATTTAACAACAACAAGTTTAGGTCAAACCATTTGTGCCGCCCAGAGAATAAAGTTTCAAGATCTTGAATTTAACACCAGTCATGCAGCTCTAGGTACCCTTACAGAGAAGAGCCAAAGAATACCAGTTAAAATATTTAACATATTTATTTAGGGAACTAAGATGGATACCTAGTATTATAGGCTAGAAAGTCAAGAAATCTTCGCTTTTGGAAGACCAGTGTTGTTGAAAGGTATTATCATCAAAGTCTTGAAAATCAGAAAAGGCATGAAAAAGGAGATTACAAACTTGTTTACCAAATTCTGGAGCTTTACGAGGGAGCACCATGTTAAACTTATGATAAATTTAAGATAAAAAATAGGAAGTTCTCTCTGTAAAGTTATGGAACTTAACCCAATCGCTTAAAACACTATAAAACCAGTACGTCAAACATTTCAGAATTGAAATTATTAATTTAAAAAATGTCTCATAAAGCATATAGGCTTTCTCATAGTTTTTATTTT